TTCCATAAAAGAGGGACATAATTTCCACTTATAAAGCAGGAAAGAAATTGCACTATTAAAAATGGGAAAATAATCAGTGTCTCACAAGTGGTTGGGAATCCGTGATTCATCTGCATAAGAAACAACGATAGTCCGCAGGGTGCCACACATTAACACTTAAAAATGTGAAACATATTCCCGAATAAAATCCCTAAGCTGATTTATAACCTGTTGTCTGTGAGAGAACTGGAAAAGGAAGCTAAAGGAACCGGCTATCAACACCAATCAACACGGTGACAAATGGTAAATTCAATCTATGGCCCGGAATAACTCACCAAAGTGGTCTTATCGGTGGTGTTAGCGCGAGAGGAATATTATATGTTGCTTCGCTGTATAAGGACGCAGCGCAATGAATATGTTGCGGGTCATAGCTGATATATATCCCTTTTGCAGATGAATGCTCACCAAATTTGTGGCAATGGGCGGCTTGGCGCACGTTAGTAGAAAGGGTTGAATAATCCCTGTGTAATAGAAGTCCCTTCATACAAAATTAGCACAAAAGGTAAAAATAAACCCTTGTGACATTGTTTATTTGGGAAGCAATATCGTGTCCTCATTTTTTATAAAGACGCTAGAGAGGAGGAGACACAAGACAAGTTCTGGATGTTGCGTACACCTTCTGACGTATGTGGTCCCATGGACGGTAGAATCAACTTGGAGGAAGTAGGTAATTTTCTAGAACCTTCATGATGATTTCTCACCGAGAAAAACATGGATATACTGTGCGCACAAAGACAAAGTATTTCAAGTGCGCTTGGTCATGCACATCCATGCGATGTGGAGTGTCAGAAATAACGGAGACGGAGGGCATCTGAAGTGTTTGCGCACACAGATATGGTGGTGAATATATATCTTGCTAAAGAGAGTTTTCAAAGGAGTATTTAATGTAGTATCGACACGGATACTTTAAAGGTATGGTCCACAAAAATGAAAAGATCAGTTCCTCGTATGCCCACACACCCCACGGCGAATGCTGTTGAATATCGGATGAGATCGCACCAATTATTGAAAGCGTCAGATCCATAGATCCATGCTCAAAATGGCCAACTTACCTAAGCCATTTTGGGGAGAAGCTGTCAATACTGCTGTCTACCTAATCAACCGACTACCTTCAGCACCTTTGAATTTTGATATTTTGGAGAAGGTCTGGACAAGTAGAAATATTTCATACTCTCACCTGAGGGTATTTGGCTGCAAGGCATTTATGTATGTTCCGAAGGAGCAGAGATCAAAGCTTGATGACATGTCAGTTCCTTGCACTTTTATTGGTTATGGAGACGAAGAGTTTGGCTACAGGTTGTGGGACCTAGTGAAAAAGAAAGTTGTCCGAATCCGAAATGTAGTATTCCATGAGAATGAGATCATGGCAGATACAACGTGTGAAGAATCCACAAGTGATGGTGTTGTTGATATTACACCAGGAAGCATTCCCACAGATGATGCCACAGGTGGAGGAATGCCAGAATCAGAACCAGAAGAAGAAGAAGAGCCAGTCATAGGGGATCAAGAGACAATTGTAGATGATAACAGTGATGCAGAGGGTGTTCAGCAGGGGGAGCCAGAGAACCCCATTCCACCAGAAGGAGTTGAACCTCAGTTAAGAAGGTCAACCAGAGAACGCCAACCATCTACAAGGGGAGCGCCAGAGAACCCCATTCCACCAGATACGGTAGTTGAACCCTAACGAGTTAAGCAAGGTCAACCAGAGAATGCGCCATACCCATTCTACAACATCATCACCTAGTCTGATTACAATTTTGGATTTACTGAGATTAGGGGAGACCTAGAAAAGCTATCGCAGAGAATGTTGCAAATCTTTGCAAAGACAGAGATTTACTGGAACAACAGGCCATGTAAGAAGAATGAATCTTTGTAAAAAAAGAATACACGTATGAGCTGGTGAAACTTCCCAAAGGGAAGAGATACACTCAAAATAAATGGGTTGGTACAAAAACCGAAAGAAAGATGACCAGATGGCACCTCTGGTGGAGATACAAAGCTCGATGTGGTCGCAAAAGGCTTTACTAAAAAGAAAGGTATTAAATTTGATGAGATTTTCAGCCTCCCAGTATGGAAATAGTCCTATTGATTGTGCTAAGTGGTCTAGTAGCCAGTTTGAATCTTGAGTTGGAGCAAACTTGAGTACCTGTTTTTTTCATCAAGACTATGGGCATTCTTGCAAATGGAGAGATCTTAGGAGGACCAGAAATCTATAAGGCAACATACAAACACGAAGGGAACTCAAGGAATATAGATTGGAAATAGAGGAACAAAACATAGGTTCGTAGCGTGAGAGAAGAGCTTGTGACGGGTTTTAAAACACAAACAAACTCAATGTGCAAAGCACACCTCTAAAGTATCATATGGTAAAATTATAATCAAACACTTTGATTCTTCATGGTGAACATCAGAATAGGATACAAAAGCGACAATTCAGATACTTGTTAATATAGTCCATGGAAATCCCTGATGGTAACCCTATATTAATCAATCTGGATTCATCTCATCATAATAATGGTTGATGATATGTTAATGTCGTTATGGACCCAAATGCACACATGATTCCATGTTAAGGAGAGAAAGCTGATTTGTCAAAGACAATTTTGACTATTAAAGGTTATTGTGGATCAGTGAAAAGGCGAATTCCTCGAAGAAGAGGATTATACGAAAGAAATGAAAGTCCTGCACGAATATGGCTATCGACAGGAGGGAATATAACTTATTATTGAAAAACGAGTATATAAGAGAGGTTCAATAGTGAAGACATGCTCAACCAGTTAGACAACTCACCGCTTGACCGCTCCACTTCAAGTTTATTGAACGAGTTCTAGAGAGGTTCAATATGAAGAATGCTAAACCAGTTAGCACTCCGCTTGCCGCTCACTTCAAGTTGAGTAAGAGATCCTGCCCATCAACAAAGAAAGAAAAAGAAAATATTTCAAATGTTCCATATTCTTCAGCGGTAGGAAGTTTGATGTACGCAATGATGTGTACGAGACCAAATATCGCTCATGCAGTTGGCGTTGTGAGCTGATTTCTGTCAAATCCCCAGAAGACACATTGGGAAGCAGTGAAGTGGATTTTCAGATACCTGAGAAGAACTTCAAAGTTATGTTTAACTTTTGGAGAGTTATGTTTTAACTTTTTGGAGAGTGAAATTAAGGACTGCACTTGTGGCTATGACACAATGCTCAGATATGGCCGGTTTGATCTTGATGAAAGCATAATCCTACATTTAGCGATACATTATTTACATTCTCAGGGGGGAGCTATTTCATGCAATCAAAAGGAATTTACAAAAACGGTGTCTTCGTTATCAACGACCGAAGACCAGTTAGTCTCACGTTGCAGCTACGGAAGCAGGAAAGAAATGCTTGGTTAAAGCGATTCTTTTCTAAGAATCTGAGTGTTGACAACATGAAGAATATATAGTTTATTGTGATAGTCAAAGCGTTTTAGACTTTGAGCAAAAATACGATGTATCATGCACGGACGAAGCACAATTTTGATGTAAGATATCATTGGCTTAGATTTAGCCATTAGAAGCGAAGCGAGTTCAAGAAAAAATTAATATTTATTGCGAAAAATCCACACAGAAGTTAAATGCTGCAGCGATTTTATTTTTTTTATTGACAAAGGTCGTTCAAGAGGGAGAAGTCTCGAGCTTTGTGTTCAAAGCAAGCAGAGGATTGGAAGAGTCCCACCATGATAAATCGGTGAGGGGGAGAATTGTTGTGGGCATCCTTCCAACATGTGGCGACCCCACACACATGTTTTAAAATAATAAAAAAAAGAAACAGCTCATGTGGGTTAAATGCTCATCCACATGAGCTGTGTACAGCTCACCCACATGAGCTGTGTTCACAGCTTGCATGAGCTGTGTGCACTTTCTTCTCCCTATAAAATAGAAGAAGAAAGTTGCTTTCAGATAGAACACAAAAACATAAACACACAAAAATAAAAGAGTGTGTAATTTTAGGAAAAGGGTCCTTAAAATTTTGGGAAAGGAGAGAAAATAGGTGAGGATTATAATTTTTGGGGTGTTTTTGGGAAACACTTAAGAGTGCCACTAATTTTGTAAA